ATCATAACAATTGGAAAAACTACATTTCAGGCCTTTTATTAAAATGTCAGTCCCTCCGGTCACATGTAACACTTCTTGAATTGTTCAACATCTGAATACGACTGCTCCGGCCAAACAGCTACAGGTATCATAAGGGGCATGCTGTATTCAAAGGGTTCATAATGATTGAAAACTTGACTCAAATCTCAAAGGAACGTCTCTTCACACGCCAGCTCCTTCACAGAAATGAGTCACATGCATGTAGGCATGATCATGGCATTCCCCCACGCACATACTGTACTCAGACACCTTGCTGGAGAAACTGCAGATGGTCCTCTCTGCTTCCTCCACAGTTGTCTCAGTAATGTCGTGACCCTTTTTCTGGCTGCAGATATAAGTTCTTGTTAACACATTATGCTATAATTCCTTGCACTCCTTTTTTATAAACTCCTGGCACTTCATTGATTAATTCATTAAATATTAATAGGCTTCATGCATAGTCTAATAACCACTTTCAGAATAATTTAGTTTGATAAATCATCTCAGCAGTTTGTTTGATAAAATCAAATAATGTGCATCAAAAGGACGTGTTCAATGGCAGATTATTTGAATGCAGACAGCCCTGCTGCTCTTTTCAGAACATCTCAATAAAACAGACACAGGTAGTTTCATAGGGCCAGATGATCTTTTCTTTATCCTCTGTGATGAGGCCGAGGGAAATCTTTGATCTGGAGTGGCTGGATAATCATCCGTAGCTGAGCCCTGATTTCCATCTCTATCCAACTCTCCCCTGGAAGCTCCATAAGTAGCCATCAACACTGGAACTAATCAGGGTTATTACTCCTCTCCCATTGGAGCGCACACTTCTGCAGATGTGGGGTCGCTTCACTGTTGTTCTACATGTTGATGCTGAACAGGTTTGATCATCTCTGTTTGCTGACGCATCGGCCTGATGCCAGATTTAAAGGTGGAGCACTTTTGACTTATTTTCTAAGGACAATTTCTGACATTTTTATCTCAATTTAAAACAAAAGATGTTTGATGAGAGAAATTATTGTGTGAATTCAGTAAAGGCTGCCATTAAGAGCTGCTAACCCTTATTTACTTTTTAATCACAGAATAAAATACAAATAAGAACAAGCTGCTGCCATTACATTTTTTTCTCTAGTGCTATTTCCATTTGCCGACAGAAATGTAATTACAAATACATGACATACCATCACTTAAAAAGGCTTTGCCTTGAACGATGACTCCTTTTCAATAGACAAGTTCTATATTCACATTTTGATTTAGTGATAATGTAAGGTATTTGTAATTGTGCAGAATGAACCTGATACACTATATGCAAATCCACTGTAGAGCATTCTAAGTGAAGTCTCATGTCTGTCAAAGGACATCTCAAGTTGAGTTTGAGTCCTTAAACAATGTCTCAAATAATGTCTGAATCTGTCAAGGCAGGTTTAAGTCAAGTCTTAAATCTGCCAGTGGATATCTCACATCACCTTTAGGAAAATGATGTCAAGGCTCAAGTCAGAACAAGATTCAGGACAAGTCTCAGGTACTACTCAGGTCTGTTCTAGTCCCGTGTTGTGTTGAGTGTTGATTCTGAGTTGGCTCTCATCTTAGTCCAAACCAAGAGAGTTGTCGAGTCAAAGTCAAATCTCCATTCCAGGACTCAAGTCTCAGCTCTGATTGAGACCAAACTAAACTACATATGACTACTAGTGTGAGACTATAACTACTTGTCTTGTGATAAAAGGTGACAATCCACAGCTCCAGTCTGATGCTGGAGTGATAAAGTTGTATCTTTGTGAAGCTGGGAGAGTTGATCAGTGGTGCTGATCTCCTGCAACATCTGATGTAGGCCAGGCTCAATGTGCTTCTCTTGCAGTCACATTTTCCCAAAACAGATGTTTGCGAGGGGCCAAGGGCTAATATATAAGCTGTCACCATCACTGTCATAAAAGCTTGGGATTCCTCCAAACGCAGGTCCATTTATCCAGAACACATCTGGTGGCAATTTGTCTTCCGTTAGAAAAACGCCTTGGTAAACTTTTTGTCTCCCCAAAAAAGAAAACATGTGGCCCTAAAGTGCTGACTTCCCAATCTGCTGTTGTCAGCTGTGTTGTACTACAGCTCTGCTGTGTGAACCATTTATTCATGAGCCCTCCATGTTCCACCTCATTACATCTACCATGTTGTTTTCTCCACTAAAAGGACAGTGCAGCTGGATACTGAGCGGGGCACATTCGGACCACTTGTTCATTTGCTCTTTACAGTGGAGCTAATGGTGGACAAAGAATCAAAAGAATGCAGTTTGAGAGATTATCATTATTTTCTCTGTACGGGAATACATGTTTGGACATTCTTATTTATTTTTCTTTTACTTTCATGTATTTAGTTTTCTCCTCTAATTCATTTTCTTCTTTTTATAGTTTTTTAGTTGCACACACACATACAGATAGGAATTCCGTAAACAATAATACAAATATAAATATAAACAAAAAGGACAGGGAGCCCCTTGACTATGCAAATAACAATTAAAGATGGGGTAGGTAATTTCAGAGAAACCAGCTCGAGTGCGCTAGAATTTGAAAATACACAGCCGGAAAAAATCTGCCACTTCCTTACAGAGCCCCTCCTCCAACACACACGAACGCGCACATGACCAATGAGGGCACGAGATAAGTTTGTGCACAGATGGAAGGCTGACAGGCAGGTAGGCCATCAAGTTATTTTAGCCGGGCCGGCTAAAATGATTGGTCATGCTTTTTACAGTACTACGGCTTCCACAGATCACATTTTTTTATGGATTTTTTGTCAAAGCACTTCAGATATTCATTGCTATCGGGATGTTAAGAGCATTCCATGGAATATAACAACAAGTTTATCTCGAGCCGGTTTCTCGGCCCCACCTTTAACCTTTACACATAACACAGACATATAAAATACAGGAAACACAACTCAGTAAACAAAAACACCAAAAGCAGTAACTACATTGTGCACATTTGGGACATTAAGTTACACTACTTATTACTGCAACAGCAGCTGATGGTTGGACAATATGTTAACAGTAGGCACTAACCTCAGACAACTTCAATTTAAAACAGGCTATAGTTTGAGGCTTGATTGAAAAACATTAATTACAAAAATAAATCATACTATCAAAATACTACAACGAATGAAAATAAGCTTGAGATAATTGAAACTGTGGTTTAAATTAGTTCTAATAGACTATTGTTGTTTTTAGATATAGAAACGAAAATATTTTTTTTATTAATTCTGGCGTTGCTAATTACGACCTTACTACCCGCGAACGATTAGCGAACGTTGCAAGCAAGCTAAAGAATGAAGAAAGCTGAATGATGTTAAAAACGTGGCTCAAAATGGGAGGTATTCGGAAGAGAGGTACAGAGGAGAATATTACCAGCGAAAGTGAACAAGTGAGTGAGGAGGAGGACAGTCATCAACCGAGCATAAGCGCAGGCTCCGCCAGCAACACAAAAGTGATATGCACAGCCGCTGTGATGGAGGAGAGAAGTAATTCAGGAAGAAGGCATTTGCTCAAAGGATGGAGAGAAGGCTGTGACCAAGGTCAAAAGCTGAACAAGCACACACTTGTCCTTAATTGTTATCTTTTTCCTTATCTTTTTTACTTTGCCACCACAGAAATGGCAATAGCAAACATCAGCAGACTGAAGATGAGCTATTAGCCCTTAGGCTCATCTGCTCCTGGAGACTTCATTATTATTGTGGAACCGAATTCCCAAAAGGACATTTTCTGTTACAATGTAGGTTGTTGCAGCAGGCCTACATTCACACTTTGGTATAGGTCCAGGAAATGACATGTGTGTACAGTTGACATTTGTTGTGTGAGAACAAGTTATTATTTTGTTCTTTATATTCTCACTTGTGGAGAGAGAGAGAGAGAGAGAGAGAGAGAGAGAGAGAGAGAGAGAGAGAGAGAGAGAGAGAGAGAGAGAGAGAGAGAGTAGAGAGAGTAGTAGTAGTAGTAGTAGTAGTAGAGTAGTAGTAGTAGTAGTAGTAGTAGTAGNATACCATTGTAAGTGCTGGTGTATTGGTGTTGATTGACAATACTTCAATACTATGCATGCTAATCATGCTAATCAGAAGCAAAACACTAAACAGTTAATGTGATTTCAAAAATAAAGTGTATTCTAAGGGAAATATCAGTCAGTTGTTCCATCTTTCTAGCATGTCTGAAATGCTAATTAGCTAATCGTTCTAATCAGAGGTATGTTAGACATACATTTCAAAATAAATACTACATATTTAATGTGGTTGCAGAGAAAATAAAGTGTTGTTGCACTGTATCAATCAGCTGTTGTCATTCATCCCACATACCTGACATGCTAATCGGCTTAATTTGCTAATCATGCTAATCACAAGCATGACAGACATAACGCTTAAAAGCTACATTTAATAGGCTTTTAAAAAAAAGAGTATTCTTATGATGCTTATCAGAAGCATGTCAGAAACTATAGTCTGGTTCCAGAAAAAAAGAGTATTCTTAGCACAGTATCAGTCAGTTGTTGCCAACAGTCTAGCATTTCTGAGATGCTAATTAGCTGATCATGCTAATCAGAAGCATGTCACACATGTTTGAAAAAAAAAAAAGACTATATTTTATGTGCTTTAAGAAAAAAAACGTATACTGAGCACATTATCATTCAGTTAATGCCAGTCATCCTGACATGCTAATGAGCTAATCATGCTAATAAGAAGCATGTCAGGGATTTTTTAAAACACTATACATATAATGTGGTTGTGGAAAAAAAAAGAGTATTCTTAGCATAGTATCAGTCAGTTGTTTCCATTTATGCAGCATGTCTGACATGCTAATCAGAAGCATGAGTGCACTTGATCCCCCCCCACCCCTCCTGGTGCTTTAACCACAGTCTGGAAGCAGATGGGGTTGAGGGAGGGAGCACACATGCCTTCCACGCTCTGTCTGGCCAACGGTTTGGTAATGGCAGGCGCTCGGAGTGATGTCAGCCTACCTCTTTATTCTGCTTGCTGCCCGCATGCTGCTGCTGCTGCTGCTGCTGCTGCTGCTGTAAGAGCTGGAGGTGGAGCTGTTCCTGCTGCTTCTTGTAGAACTCTTGGAGTTGCTGCTGCAAGAAAAGACAGAAGGCGACACGTGAGTGAAAGCCTGTCGGTCGTATAAACTCAGCGGTGGGTTTTGGGAGAATTTTCAATACTTTGAGGAATGTTGAAGGAGGGGGAAAAAAATGAAAAGAAGGGCAGCTTAAAGTGAATTTATCTTTGCTGTCTTAACATAAAGAAGATTTACAGACGAATGAGGGTAATGTCAGATGCACATTACCTGCTGTAACATGAGGGCCTGCTGCTGCTGGAGGAGAACCTGGAGCTGCTGAGGGCTCAGGACCTGCTGCTGAAGGATCTGCTGCATCTGCTGAGGAGTTATTACCTGGGGTGTCATCATAGCCACTGAAACTGGAACCTGTAACACACAAACAAGCAAATAGATGTAAGAATCCACTAATACATTACCGATTGAATGCAGTACTTGAATTAAGCGAGTCATTGTTCTACATGTATTGTCATAAGTGGAAGGAAACAGGAAACATTTTAGAAAATTTCCATTCCAGTTTAAGGTGAATATATTTTTGAGATATTCCATTTAAAGTAACAACACAATCTGAATATGTCCATATTAGAGGATGTTCTGCATAGAAACCTACTTTAACAATTCATTTATTGTCCAAAAGGTTGAATTATACATCAAATGAATGATATAAAGAAAGCCTCTTGGTAAATACTGGACTGTTAGACTTCATCTTAAGTGTCATCTCGATGTGTTACAAGCTGCACACACCCTCCAACAAACACACACCCCTCTAACTGTTCTGACACCACACCAGACTGAGGCGAGCTAAGAGGACACGAGACATCTTCCTCCATCCTCTTCATCCTCCAACCTTCCCCTCTCACACACACAATCTCTCAATATGATCCGCATCTGCATCTCAGATCCAGCGTTTATACAACATGGCAAATATGCCATACCTGAGGACATGAAAAGATGGCCTCAAAAACTGCTGCGGTTGGCTCAATGTGTCATCTGAGAGCATTTCATTAGAGAGGCTGTCAGCAGAGATCTATTATGGGGTGGATGCACGGTGCCTGGAGGAGGAGGAGCCACGCTGAAGAACACACACACACACACACACACACACACACACACACACACACACACACACACACACACACACACACACACACACACACACACCTAGGCCTCTAACTAACTCCCAAGCAGAAAGGTGTGAGTGCATGACTCCTCAAAACAAGTGATTTGTTGTGACACTGAGAGAGCGCCCACAGTTGTCAGGGCGCCTTAATTGCTCGGGCGGCGGACGGGACACCGAGTGTGTCTGCCACTCAGCGCCATGATGTGCGATACCATTAAAAGCTCCTTTCCTTCACATTCGGATGACAAACAGCAACTGAGACGTGTGTGATGGTGTTGGGTTGTTAACATGTTGTGGTGGTGGTGTTTTATTGGGTATGTTAGGATGCAGGCAAGGTTTGTTCTCAAGTACAATTTTGAAGTTGACTTTAATTTAAATGTGTTATTACTTAATATTTATACTTTACTACATATTTACATACAGGCAATATATAACTATATTGACTGTCCATTACACCCAAGAACCAAACAGACACACATGAGATGCAGAATATATTTAATATTCCATAAAACCCCACTATTTTCTTTGGAGTGTATTTTGCCACCTGTTATTGGTTGGTGGCAATATTTGTATCCACAATAAATTGGCTATGCAATGTATTCTTTAGTCTGCTTAAATTAAAATATCTCCTTGATCTCCATACTGAGTGGGCTTAACCACAGCTTTACTTTACAGATTCTGATTATTAGCTAACACAAAATATAAATCAATTAATGAATCAACTATGGTATGTAATTACAGGTTAAGATATCCAGCAGCAGAATGTAAAATAATTCAAATTAGCTCTATTTTTACCAGCTGTGATGGACACATTATTGCATAAATTATCATAATCCAGTCATTTAATATATAGGATTGTGAAATGGGACGAGTGCTTTTACTTTTGGTGTAGATTTGATGCCTGTACGTTAGTAATTCTACTTACGTAAGATTTGAAATGCAGGACTCTTCTCCCCCCGCTGTTAGCATATGTGCATATAAAACATGCTTTGTATCTCAGATTGATCACACAGTGACAGTCCGCCTCCACCAAGGTTACCCAAATTGTGGCTCCGCCTTACAGCTAATGAACCCCTTTTGAATTTTTTATGCATTTTTTGAATGTTGCTTAAAATCTCATACGGTAACATGTTTGTTTTTTTTCTCTCTGCATCATTATTGTTCAACAAAAACAAAGTCATAATGAACGGCATGTAGAGCAAATGTGGAGGAAAGGGCAAGGGATGTCAAATAGGAAAGGAGCGGCTTTGATGCTCTCCGTTAACTCAACGCCACACTGTGCTGCCTCCAGCCCCCAGGAGAGTGACGGAGAACCAGCCCCACCCAGGAGGACTAACACACACTTCACATCTCCAGAAGCAGACGCGAGGAGCAGAAAAATACAATATTAATTCCCCGCTGTATTATGTCTTAATATGCACTTCATCTTGACTTTTGCACATGACTTGTCCTGTCATTTGCATAGCCCCGGCCTCCCATTCTCCTAATTTCACAGTCATTATCCACTGAAGTCCTTTCTTTCCCTTCTAATTTTGATGAACTATTTTGAAGGTCAACCCACGTCTTTCTGACACGCAAGCGCCATACGTGACGTGATATATAGTTCCCGTCTAAACATGACATTTACCCCCCACGCACACTGAGGATAAATAATAATGTGTGTTTGAAATCTACTTCATGCTCTATTTTTTTGACTACCGTGTTTAAAGCTGTCTTATTTTCTAATGTATAATCATTTTGTCAAGCCATATTATATAGAGTGTGAGGTTTTACACATCCCGGCTCTCGATAGCTGCCAATTTCATTACAAATTACACCGGGATTTCCTTCAATTTAACCGTCTTAATTCTTTACACCTAGATCTCATCATGGTTTCACACTCCGCCTTGTGAGGAGCGTCTGGCTGCTGTAACTACAGCCGGAGCAGCCTCCTCTGTGCAAGAGGCTATTACACACCCCCATTTTATTACCCATTACTACTGAGGTCATTAGCAGCAAGAGGGATTGTATGCTTCTTAACCTATTGATCAATGTAACTACTACCATTTAATCCTGTGCTGAAGGAGTGAAAATCTGCCTAAGACTGGATTCTATTGAGAGGAAAGGCGGGAGGAGGGTGTATTGGGGGGGTACTTTAAGAGAGAAATATTGCCCTGGCCGCTGTATCATGCCCATTTAACGCAAACACAGGATGCCAGTCGCCATTTAGAGCACTCCCTTATGGTACACTCCCTCCGTTATCTCCCGGATAACATCATGACTCCAGATGATCCACAAAAAAACATATATCACCATCTAAAGATACAAAAAGAGAGAGTGGTACTGGGCTAATAACTGGAGGGATCCAGCGAGCCCGGCTCTAATCTAGTCCGCAGATATGAGGGTGCGAAAAAGAGGACATTCTGAGGATGCCAGGGATAGCTGACTTTTATGAATTTTGCGAAAGGTGTGGCGCTCTCCAGGTGTACAGAAACATTCAGAGCTGGAACATCTTCACACAGCTGCCTAGTGACTGCAGGCAATATACTGTACCAGCACAGGCCTGCTGGACACACACACACACACACACACACACACACACACACACACACACACACACACACACACACACC